GGCTGCTGGCGCCCATCGGGGACCCGGAGAAGGTGATCTGCGTGGGGCTCAACTACCGCGACCACTGCCTGGAGCAGGACGTGAAGATCCCCAAGGAGCCCATCATCTTCAGCAAGTTCCCCAGCGCCATCATCGGGCCCTTCGATGACATCATACACCCCGAGGAGAGCAGCGTGAGTACCCCCGCGCCGTGCCCCCCGCGCCGTGGGGTGCGGCCCCTCCAAGCCCCCGTCTTCTCCCGCAGGAGGTGGACTGGGAGGTGGAGCTGGCCGCCGTCATCGGGAAGAAGGGGAAGCACATCGAGGTACCCCGCCCTGCCCCTCCTCCTCTCGGGGCTCCCCCGGGCTAAGTGAGACCCCGTTGTCACCCCCCTCCACCCCAAGGAGTCGGCGGCGCTGGACCACGTCGTGGGCTTCACGGTGGCCAACGACGTCAGCGCCCGGGACTGGCAGATGAAGAGGAATGGGAGGCAGTGGCTGCTGGGGAAAACCTTCGACACCTTCTGTCCCCTGGGGCCGGCTCTTGTCACCAAGGATGCGGTGGCAGGTGGGGACAGGACGGGGACAGGACAGGGACTCTCCTGGCTAATGCAGGAGGCAGCGGGCGCTAAATTTGCCCAAAAGCATCCACCTTTTCCTGCGGTGGGGGGTTCCCGGCAGCGGGGATCCCGCGGCGCTGTCCCCATGTCCCCTCCCAGGGTGACGCGTCCCCTCTGTCCCCGCAGATGTCCACAACCTCGGCATCCGCTGCAGCGTGAACGGGCAGGTGATGCAGGACAGCAGCACCAGCCAGCTCATCTTCAGGCTGCCCAAACTCATCGCCTGGGTCTCCCGGTAGGTGCCGGCGGCACCAGCACCGTTCCCCAGGGGCTCAGGGGGTGACGGCTGTCACCGCCTGTGTCCCCCTCGCCCCAGGTTTGTCACGCTGGTCCCCGGGGACATCCTTCTGACAGGAACCCCTCCTGGCGTGGGGGCCTTTCGGAAGCCCCCCGTGTTCCTTAAGGGGAGGGGAGGGGGGAGGGGCAGAAAAAGGGCGTGGGAGGGAGT